CAGAGCTTAGACCGAAACTAGACCAGACTGAATAAAGGCGGGTTTCCAGTGTTTCCACAATACACGTTTGCTGTGTACACGAAAAATGTGCAGCTACATCCAACAACACGGTATCGTGGTTAATCGTGTGGTAACTTAACCTAACCAACGAATCACAGCAAAGGATTTGTATGCACGTACACCCGTACGTGTATAGTGGAAACCCGCCTCAATGATTTCACGGTTTGAGCCGAATCTAACTGATTCCTGTTGCTAAACATGTTGAGCATTTCCTAATATATAAAATGACAAGGAAATCAGCTGTCTACAAGCAACCCGTGGAACGGAAAACGCAGTTATAGTGAAACCGTGGAGTAAAAAATGAAGCACCGCTCCGTTTCCCCAGCCCGCCGGCCAAGTCCCGTCGATTCCTTATAGCGCGACCAATCGCGTACCTTCGCAGCGGCGGCAGTCGGTTTTAAAACGTTTTTCGTTATCACCTCTTTTCCTATCATTTCGCCAATTTTTGAAATTTTCGGAAAATTAGCTGTTTTTACACGATTTCGACCCTTTCCGTCCTTTTTTATACTTAATTCGAAGCCGCCGGTGTGTAGTTTATATTCGTGCGCCGTTCGAAGCGGTCGCAATGTCGATCGAAAAATACACTCCCGACCGGACTTTTTTGCCGATTTTTTCCTTTTCTCCCACCGTTTCGTCTATTCACACGCCGTTTGTGCCCGAATCGTGTAGTCGACGTCTTTTTAAAGCCGTTTATATGGGCTTTTCCCCCGAAATCGGTTCGTTCGCCTCGCAATCGCGTTTATAAATTACGCCGGCGACCGACCGACCGTATATATACATGTATAATTTAATTTTTCCCTATGATTTAATAATTATTAACGAAAAACGCTTTTCACACGCCCCGTTAAATATATATATGGGAGATGCGCGTATTACAAGCGAATTATATGCGATTACATCGATGTACATCGAATATATCGGTTTACGTCGCTCCGTAGACGCACGGCTTAAGTGTTGATGTTTTGATCATATTTCACATCTTAAACTGTGTCCAAGTAGGTTAGGCGTTAGGTAGAAAACACGTAGGTCCCGGGTTCGAACCCGTCGTACGCTGCCCGAGCGTCGAATCTGGCATTGCCATAAGGTCTACACGGCCGCCCGGAACCGGATTTTTTTTGCATTTTTTTTCACGTTATTTTTAATATAAATTAAATAATAATATAATAATACAGGAACATATCGTACATTATTATTATTTAAAGTCATTGTCATATTATATCATACAATAAATAGGTACATATTATATTTGTTTTGTTAGGAATTATTATAATTGCATATTTTTTCAAAAAGTCCATGATTGTTATATAAATATAGTTGTATTTTATTTCGGATTGCCTACCTAGGTGGCTAAATTGAAAGTTAATCGATTTTGACTTGAGATGACTGACTTGCTAGACACTCCAACACGGTTGTCGACTTTATACTTTTTACATAAGGAATGGCACCGGACATGCGAAGCCACATACCACTCTATGTGATATACCTACTATATATAGGTGATAGACGGATTGCTCATTTTAGTTTCGTCTTAAACGGTGATGATTGACTTGACAGACACTTTAACAGTTTAACATGCAGGTTTTTGCATTTTTTTTTTTAAATTAATATATATACATTATAGGTAGTGTTTATATGTACTTATTGTATTGGTTAATATAATAGTAGGTATGTATTATAATTATGTATTATGTATTATAATTATAATTGCACTTTTCTCAAAGTGTTCATTGTTATATTATATCACACAATAAATACATATCATATTTGTTTGTATGTATATTGTATATAGTTTGAATTTTTCGTAAATTATTTCGTAAGTTGTGTGATAGGGTTTTCACTTATAGCCGCTTGACGTCGGGTCTGCAATCCACCGCAGGTGGATTGCCTACCTGATTTGCTGTAGCACATTGTCCGCGATCCGACGAAGTCGGATTGCCTACCAGCCTACCTAAGTGGCTAACTTGAAAGTTAATAGATTTTGACTTGAGATGACTGACTTGCTAGAAACTCCAACACGGTTTTCGACTTTACACTTTTTACATAAGATAAAGCACCGGGCATGCTACGGCACATACCACTTTATGTGCAGGTATACTCTATATAGGTGATCCTGGAGATCGTATCCAGCCTATCCATTTACAACGTTTGTGACGGATTGCTAGACACTCAAACTTTTAACATTCCCGCCAAAGCGTCTAGCCTTATATCCAATCCATATCACTAATCCTTATCACAAATCCTAAACTTTCGTCTTACAACCTTTGCGACTTTTATAATTCATTGTCTCCAAAATCGGTACCCACTCTCAGCGATTCCAACGGGCCCCGAGTTATACTTAGAGCTAGTATTTTTTAAACTATTAACAGACTGAACTGGACCGATGTTATTTGAAATAACAACAAATCGGACCAGTCCAATTTTTTTTTTTAAACAATTAACAGACCAATCTGAACTATTTTTACACAAAATAGTTATTTATACATATTACTTAGAAACATAGACTTATAGGTCTATGATTGGAAATATTTTATATATTAAGAGGACGTCTCACCCGGATGCGTTGTCTCCGTCTTACACACGTACGACATAGCAAATTTTCGTTTGCTAGTTTCAATAGGGTATTGTCAGTTTTGATATTAGAGTGAATAGATCTATTATCAAACTTTTAGGAAACAACATTATCTGTGTTCTCTCGTTGGTTTTTTACGACATTTTAAAATATGAATACTTTACATACCCATAACTCACTTAAACATTTAAATATCGTAAAAAACCAACGAGAGAACACAGATAATGTTGTTACCTAAAAGTTTTATAATAGGTCAATTCAATCTAATATAAAAACTGACAATACCCTATTGAAACTAGCCAACGAACATTTGCTATGTCATATATGTGTAAGACGGAGATCACACATGCGGGTGCGACGTCCTCTTAAGATATTACTTTGAAGATAAGATTCTACAGATATATGATATATCTATATAATTAAAAGGAATTGATTCTACATAACGTCACAACACGGTTTTATATAGATAATTATATTTATCCACCATTTCGATTACTGTTATAAAAGTTCGGTCGACAGCTGTATATTTTAGACTGTGATTAGTTTTTCTTGGTAAAACAGACACGGATTGACACCCTTACAAATTAAAATAATAAAATGCGATTATTTATAATAATAATAATAATAATAATAATACAATGGTGTAATTTTTGGTGTAATTTTAAGTGGTCAACTTGATATTTTGATTTCAAAATATAATATTGGTTGAACTTGAAAATAATTAAAAACAAAAACTATGGACCGTAATGGCATAACCGGGACCGAAGACCGGACCGTTACCTGAACCGGTCTTATACGTTGACCGGACCAGATCGAAATCAAATTAAATGGTTTTATTTGAGACTGAACCAAACTGCTCACTAAATATTTCTGATAGGGCTATACCGAAATTTTTTTGAATTTATTAAACCAGACTGAACCGAACCGTTACTTAGTTTTATTTCATAAAGTTGATCCAAAACCGCACCGAGGTCCGGACTGAACTGTTTTAGATCTGACCATACAGAGCACTTTTTTTGACAAAAATACCAAAATCAATATATTATAATACTATTATGGAATCGTGGTGTAGTATATTCCACGCAATTAGGCTATCAGCATTTTTATTTGTTTGGTAAAACAACATTCGTATTTCTAGGCAAAATCTCGATTTAAGATAGTATGGTTGCACATGCATTAGTAATAAACTGACCTACAGATTAAAACACAAAATCAATAAAAATTGTCGATTTGCAAGTAGCGTTTCAAGTGGATAAAATATTCAACTATGGTATCACAAAGGCCAAGAAGGTGGTACAAAACAACAAACTAAAATCAGATTACTAGGCGCGCTAGTAATAGATCAAAATAGCTGATTTCTGGATTAAATATTCTGTTGCCATAATATAAAGGCATTATCACAATTTTTAATATTAAAAGCCTAAGACCTTAAAATATGTTTTTAATGATCAAAAGTTAAGTTAAAAAAATCAGCCCCCTTTCATAATAGTTTGACTACCTACCACTGTGTCACCCGTTTAGATCTCAAAATAATAAACGAAAATTAAATAATAATAATAATAATAATATATAATAATTCATCAATCATTGAGTTAATACTTAAAGTAATACATACTACTTAAATCCATGGCTCCATATTTCTATGATAAAATATAAATTTAACTATAAACTAATCTCTTAAAAGTCAAAAGTATAAAACTCTAGAATAACATTATTCTATATATTATAATATAATATATATATTATAAAATATATTTATTATAAATAATAATTTTTGTAGTCAGTACACACTTACACACTACACCATTGTGTACCTATGGGATCATCATGCCAAATGACGACCAAGAAACCTTGAACAAAAAATAATAATATTATCGAACTTTACATCTTTGCTTATTTCAATAGTTAAAACCAATTTAAACTGTAATACTATAATATGATAATGTTTAAAATTATGCTTCATAATGAGATGTGACGTATGATTCATAATCTGTGTTACACAGTGTAATCGATAAATAATGTGAATACACATTTATACTAGCTCGATTATTATTTTATCACTAAATACTGTCCGTACAACACAATTATATTAAAGTGCGTTTGTAAACATAATATGTGCGATAGCCATAATAAAATATTATGAACTTTTCTCAATTTTTATTTGACCATCAGTTATAATATTATAATAACCTACTACTGTCCATAATTCTATAGTTTTTGTAATTTATTTATTAAAACGTTACAACTTACAGTGTATAATATATTTAACTTCCTATAATATAAAATGTTATCGTATTTTTTTTTGTACATACATATCATAGTATAGTTCAGTCGAATTCCACGATTTGATTGTACAGAACAAAATATTGTTATGAGTTACCAACGTTTTAAGGACAACACATTTTGGTAAGATGAAACTAGTCATGATACATTGGAATAGTCTTACATTAAGAGGACGTGATATCCGCATAATATGTTGTCCTTGTCTTGGAAACGAGCAACATAGCAAATTTAAATTTATCAGGATCCATTTTGTGTTGCTACTTTTAATATCATAATAATTTGTCCTGTTATCACATTTAAAGGTAGGAATATTATCTATGTTCTTTATTATTATCGGGTTTTATGTTTTATTATTGTTTAAATTTTAAACCTAGTTATGAGAATTTTAAAGTATCAATATTTTACAGACATATAGCCCGTTTCACACATGACTGTGAAACTGGCTTTATAACTTGCTTTAAAATTTAATTATTAAAAAGCTGATAAGAACAAACATATTCTTACCTTTAAATCGTATGCTAAGTCAATTTATTGTAATATTAAGACTTAAGAAATGGGTTCTTCTGAAGACAAGTAGGCAACACATGAGGGGCATCATGTATTTTAACTTCAATAATTATAAAGGTCTATACATCAAACAAAAAATGTTTGAGTTAAGTTGGGAAATTCCATATATTTACTAATTTAAGTAATAAAATATTAGAATATTAAAAGTATTTTGAAATATATGTATTTAGCCATTTAGGTATATAACACGTTTAATAGGAATTTTTATTTTTTTATTTTGTTTTTTAATATCTATAATCTATATAAATCAAAAAGCTTTATATTAAGTTATAATATTTGTTTCTATGATCCATTTTTATATATTTTACTAAGCTAATTACCCTTATCATAAAACTTTCCTCATATAGTACCTCACATATACCTAACTGTAGTTGACAATTTAGATATCTACCTATGTTAAAAGTTAAAACAATTTATTTAATTAAATAGGTATTATTATGAAATATGACCCAATAATGTTCTAATCAAAAGCAAGGCTGGGCATTAACGAGTTAAAAGTTAAAATTAAGTTAAAACGTTAAGTTAATTTTAATTAAGTTAATTAACTCGTTACTTTTTTTACAAATTAACTTTTAACTTAATAAGTTACTTTTTTTTTAAGATTAACGTGTTAACTTTAAGTTAATTTTATTTAAAATTATCTAAATTAAGTTAATTTTAGTGCAAAGAAAAATGCAAATTATTAATGAGGTTTTTAGTATATTTTATGATTTACTATTTTAATATGAATTTCCTGTAGACGAAAATAATATGAAAAATAACTTTAATAGTCATTATATGGGCTATATAATATCTACCTACACGTTTATCATTATAAATTGTATTAATAATATTTTCAAAGATAGGTTATACAGATTATCGTTTAAATGGGTTCCCTGAAGTGGATGTCGAATGTTGTCGTGAACGTAATAATATAGTACAAAGTAATTATATTTTTACTGATAATAATTGTTCATGTTGTGCTGAGCCTAGGTTTTAAAACTACACGGTGGCTGCATTTTGTCCTCAGTATAGAAAATATATTTGGGTGGTAGGTACTGCCTGTTTGATTTTTAAAATTTATGTGAATCAATTAAAAATATTGGTATCTTGGCAGTTGGGAGAAAACTATTAAGGTGTTTTTTTTTTTTTTTTGATGTACCACTTGGGTAAATTGATTTGAGTATGAGTTCAGGACTAAGATTTATTTTGGAAAAGTCGGTTTTTTGATACCTAATTAATACTTTTATGACTCATTTAAAAAATTTCAATAGTATTTTTCTTGAGTGTAAAAAAACTAATATTATGTGTGCAATTTTTTATTTTTGCAAAATAGAAAATTTTAACTTTAAACTAAGTTAAGTTACTTTTTTTTGAAAGTTAACTTTTAACTTAACGAGTTAACGTAAAAAATATGATTAACTTTTAATTTAACTTAACTTTATTATTTTAAAATAACTTAACTTAACGAGTTAAAAAAAATCGTTAACTTGCCCAGCCTTGATCAAAAGTCATATTTCTGTTTACATTATAGTCGTTTGGAAAAACAATACGTACAGAAAACTGATATACCGCGTTATATTAATGTTGCTGTTGTGGGACTTTCTGGTGCAGAGAAAGAAAAAGGAGCAATGGGAGTCGGTAAATCATGTCTATGTAACAGATTTATGAGATCATCATCCAATGACTTCGAAGACGATCATAGTTCTTTACTAAGCAATGTAATTGTTTATTAATTATACTAATTATAAATCATGAATTACAGAATAGACAGTACATTCATTTAATATAAACCATAGGTACCTATTTCTAATTATGTTTCTATATTTAGTCTGATTTTAGTGGACGTGTTGTTAATAATGATAATTTTTTATACTGGGGAGAAGTTATAAAAACATCTAAAGAAGGTACTGAATACACATTTCGTGTAATTGAACAAACTGAATTTATAGATGATTCAACATTTCAACCGTTTAATGGTAAATAACCCTTTTCGTTTTAGCTATTTGTAAACACCCGCGTATTGGTATAAACAATGTTGGCCTGCTACCGGAGGGTCCGGTTTTTTTTTATTTATATCAAGGTCAAATTTAAAATGTATGGCTTTTTGATTTTAGGGGTTCATATAGCTTATTTTAAATCACTGTGCCAGGAGCCTGATCATGAGGCAAACCAATTTAATTACTAATATCGTAATATGCACTATGTAATATACTAGGTGTATACCTATAGGTACATAGTATATTGTATACATACAATCAGTAGTTTCAACTAGACAGTATAGGGTTAGCCCAACTAAACTATAATACTTTTTTATATATTATATATTTAATGTCTTTTCGCGTCATGTTTTGTATTTTTTTTAATTATAAACTAAAAGGTTTTAAAAATGTTGAGTTAATCTGTTATGAGTTAGAACTTTGAGTAATATTTTTTTGAGTAATAATATTAATTATTATTAGAAGTCAGTATTACTAGCTTTAAATTCATTTAAAAACATACCAGCATTTTATTGGAGAGAAAAATTTTTAAGTTGTATATTTTCAAATGATTATTTATATACATTTTTAAGGAGTGAAAATGGACCCATATATCAAACGCTGCGTGGCCACTAAAATTGAATCAGCTGAAAAATTAATGTATATTTGTAGAAGCCAATTAGGTATGTTAAAAACTCTTAATATTTGAATACAAATATATTTTAAATAGTTAAATTAATAATAATTTTTTATTTCTAATGTACCATCATAATATATATGATGTTTATTCATAAATTGTTGGGATTAATATTAAAAAAGGCGGGTAAGTGGATGTTGCTCTGCTATACAGTAGGTTACAAGTGGCCAGTGGGTCACTGTATAATGGATGGTATTAAATTTGAATTCAAAGATATAATATCATTGTATACGAAAAACGATTCTGAGCGGTGACGGTTTGTCAGTGTGGATATTTTATATTATATTTATATTTATATTACTTATTGTTAATACGGTAGCCGGTAAGTTTAACTAATATTATAAAATTACAACAAAATAACTAAAATCATTATTGTCTTATCTTGGTTATTTATTATGTAATTTCCTCCAATTTGAACATAAAATAAATATAATAAAATAGAAAAAAATTTTCAAATGTCATTGTCCAATATATTAAGATCCTTGTATTAAATTTTCAAGCTTTTTAACCAACAAATAAAATTTTATTGACATTTATAGAATAAAAACTAAAAAAACTGGAAACTGAAAATGTCCGCAAACAGTCTAAAACAGGGGTCTCCAAACTACGGCCCGCGGGCCGAATACGGCCCGTCAACAAGTTTTAACCGGCCCGTGGCCCTCATATGTAAATATAGATAAAAAAAATTATTTCAAAAATGTATTTATATTATATTATATTTATACCTATTTATTTTTATGTAAGTATATTGTAAAGTAAACAATATTTTATACAAAAATATAAAGTAAACATATTATTTATATAGGTAGGTAACTATATTATCATAAAATTAAAAATTATGTGTTAATAAACTTTTGGCCCGCTAAGAGCAATTGATTTTTTTTGTGGCCCTTGAATAAAAAAGTTTGGAGACCCCTGGTCTAAAACAAATCAATATTCTATAGAAAATTCTAATATAAACAGCCAGTGAAAATTTCATGTTTTAGAGTTATACCAAAAACCAAAATCGGTTTTGTCAAAAATTGATATTGAGTAAAAATTCCCGTTTTTCCTTAATTTTTCTTTTCTTTTTCCCTGCGCTTTCGAATACTTTTTTTACTTTTGACGCAATCACATTCACTTTCCTATCAGAAAAGATATTGTTGAAAAAAATCTAAGCATTATTACTGTCCTAAAATGCTTACAGACACAAAAAAAAATACCTATTACGTATCATTGTAAAATCAATACATTCGTAGCTCCGCTCAGAATTTAAAAGGTATTTTTTTTAATATTGTAGTTACTTATTATTATATTAATTTCAGGTATTGAAGAAAAATTTGAACAAAAAGTGTTACCTTTCGGTAAATTCAATGTTGATGGTTTTTTATGCGTGTTTGATGTCAGTGTAGTACCCGGTCGCAGTATAGAAAAACAATTAGAAACTGTGACAAATATATTAAAAAATATAAAGACTACAACAAAACCTGTGGTATTAGTAACTACCAAGAACGATGAATTAAATGAAACATATGTTCAAGAAGTTCAAAAACTTGTATCTCGAAATGAATTTAAGAAAGCTATACCAATTGTTGAAACATCTGCTTGTCTGAATGTTAATGTTGATGCCGCTTTTATTGCTCTAGCTCATATTATTGATAGATTTAAAGGCCGTACAAAAATAGTTCCTTATTTGGAATCTGACTACAGACTATTGATGCAAACCAGACGTTGGTACAATTATAAGTAAATACAGAAATGTTTATCATTTTCTATTTACGCAGTACCTATGTATAAAATACTTATCTCATAAGGCATGTATGCATTGTAATTTTTCAATAGTTAGGATCGAATCACACTATGCATTTTGTCGGTTTGATTCAAAGTCAGGAAACTAATTACATAGGAAAATATTACACAGGAAAATAAAAATCAGAAAAATATTAGGTGCCCAAAAAATAATCGAATTGGGAAATGGGAATTTAAATACTAGGTAATATTTACACCGGAAAGTAAAATTCTGGAATAATACTTTCCTTTATAGAATATGTTTCCGGTTTTGAAATTCCCGTGTATTATTATCAAGCATAAATATTTTTCTGATTTTAAAATTCTTATAAATTATTTTCTAGTTTTTTACCTCTGTATAACTTTTATTATGTAAATTTATGTTCAAATTGGTCAATTTTATACATAAGTTTTGAATTTAGACAAAGCCGACTAGATCTCACTTAAGAATTTTGTTGCAATTTAAAAAATATTAACCACGGGGAAACTTTAAACATTCAACTGTTACTTGACTCATAATTTTTAATACTCAATGATATTTTAAAAATATTTAGATTTATTTTTTAGCAATAACCTATTTATGCTTTTATATTAATTATGAAAATCAAACAATTAAATTTATATTTTATTTTTAGAACAACTGATAATTTTGAAAATTTTGAAGACGATATAGAACGCCACAGTTTAGACGATATGTATGATGATATGACATTACATCAAATCCAGACATGAGCATTTTAATGTCGTTTCTTCCCTACATGAAATTATTAAAAAAGGAGCAAAAATTAGAATTTCAAATTAACATCCTTCAATATTTAAAACATATTATAAAAAATCAACTTCCACCCATACAACAAAACGTACTACACGAACCACAACCTCTGTATCCCATTCCAACTGCTCCTTTACAATTTAATGATAATACAATGAACCAAAACTCATCTTCTAACTTACAATATAATTTCAGTTCTTACTCAAATCCAACTTGTACACAACCTAATTATACTTATAATTCATCATCCTCTTATTCAGATCACACTGTTCCAACCACACTCATGCCTACTTCATCGTCACAACCATCACTATCAAACCAGACACAATAAACATTTTTTTGATTGCTTATTTATAATAAATAATAATAATTAGGTATAAAATATGACCAGGTAGGTTATAATTTACATTATATTATTATGTAATTTGTATGATTTTTAGTTTTCTTATTTTCTTATTTAAATTATTCGCATATTGATATAAAGTCATAAAGTAATGTTTTCCTTTGTTATATTTTGTATTATATGTATTTATTATTTTATATAAATTTAAAAATATTGTGCTTTGAACAAAAAGAGGAGATGCTCGCAATTTTGTAATGGTATTTAAAATAAATAATTCATTTTTATTTCAAATAATTGTTTTGATATAAGTACCTATACTTATAAGTAGCAATAAGTATCAGTGTCCATTATTATATTCTGCCATGGTTTTAGGTGTAAATCGTCACCGAGCAAAGCAAAGACGTATTGGTCTTACAACTGAGTGACAACTGTTGTATAAAAAATGCTATGAACATGCATTTTAAAGGAGGTTTTTGGTAGCAATTAGCAAATTGAATCTAGTTCGTATTTTGTGGTGTCAAAAGTAGAAATTCCCCAGTTACTTATTATACCAGCTAATACTTAATTATTATTTTAAATTATTATAAAATACTTGAAATCCCATGTCGTGTTCTCTACTACTATGTATAGGATTGACCCACACCCAATAACTTCTGTGCTTACTGCTTATGTGCTGGTTCTTTAAGTTCACCAGCAACTTCAGCCATACAAATTATTTCCAAAAGTGAGCTTATTTCTATGTATAGTTTTAATATTACAATTAAAATATATTATATAGGTTCTCAAAAACTAAATAGATTATATTTTGAAATAAACACTTACCTGATGTAAATGTTTTTCTTAAATTATGTAAATTACAAAAACACGATTGGTTTAATTTTTAAGTAGTTCAAGATACAGTATAGTAATATTAATAATTATAATAATATGCTTTTAAAAGTACAAGTGAACACGTCTGTTGCACCAAACAGACTGAATCACCGAACAACATGTTGGCTAGTTTGATTTCGATGATTATATAACTTATAATATTAGATACATTTCGTTAAAATCAAAAATGAGTTTACTATTTATATTAAATTCAAAATTAACCACGATTCCCGCGCTTTTTAATCTCGCTTTTAGGTATTTGACAGCCGATAAAACGCATAGCCTGAACTGTCTTGCCAATTACAGTTTGGTCGTGATCGTTTCATCGGTAATTAGTTACCTACCTAAATTTTTATTTCAAACGATATAATATATTATAATCAACTGTGTACTTCGTATTCATATATGTATTTAATTGTTATTTATTTAGTCTTAAACAATTAATAAATTTCTAAATACTTATATTTGTGTAAACATTTAAAAGTTAAAGAATAAGTATAAAACACTACATTTTTTTCAAACAAGTCACATGTGATAGGTAATATGTTAGTATATAAATAAATATTAAAAGTTACAATAAATTGTAATTATTAATTTACTTCAACTTAAGTTGCGTGAAATTTAGCAGTGAACATTACACATTTACACATACTACTATATGTATATTTTAAACATATAGGTATACCAAGTAAAATCCATCCTAAAAATATATTGAATACATAAAAATATATGTAACGAAATGATTTGTTTGCCATTTGATTGTTGACCTTTTAAATTTCTATGACTGTACGAGAAACGAGCGAATTATTGAGTGTCGTAATATTTTTTTGGATTATAACTGGTATGGTGTGCCTCAATTTAATCTTTTGACCAAAGGTCACAGAATAAACTGCGCTTCAGATTTACAGTCAGATATAATAATGTTATTACTTATTAGTGTAATTAATTATATTACTAGTTCTCGACTGATGTCTGATTGCAAACATTTTTGGTACATACTATATACCAGTCTTGTAAAGTATTTGAATAAATGTATTCAGACACTTTTCTTTGTCCGAATAACTAAGTATTCTGAATAAATTTATTGTTAACTTATTATTAAACTTATTGTTTTTTTTAACTCAAAAAATAATTTATATTTGTGACAAAACAATTTTTTCTATTAAAAATTGGGCACATTATAAGTTATAGACAATAACTAATAGTTTTTCTTTTCGAATGAAATATTATTGACCCACGACCCACGTTAATTTCCAACCATTCCAAAACTGACAAATATTGGAGAAAAAATAATAAATATTCCAATAGTATTCGATTACTTTTTCGGGTATTCGAATATATTTTTTTAAATGTATTCGAATACATATTCGGAATACTTTAATACTCATTTATTTGAATAAGTATTCTAAATATAAAATAAAAGTATTCTTTACAAGACTGTTACATAGGTACTATATATATATGAAATTATGAACTAGGTAATAAACACTTATAAACCCTTCAACCTTATTTTTAGGTTTTAAAATGTAGTACCTACATTTTACAAGTTTAATAATGTCTTATGTCTATAACCATGTAGTTCTATATACGCATAGGTTTATTATTTGGATCTTCATGAATTAATGAATAGTAATACCTAATAATATTATAAATTATGTAGGTAGTAAATTAAAAATGCATAATATGTCCCATGATATTGAATAAAAGTGGTATCAACAACCTACGCTGAATTAAAATGTTTGATTGTTATATAATATTATAATTTATTTAATTTTAAAAAATAATTAATTTTTAAGTATAATTATTTGATATTTTTTATTTAGTTAAATGTATAAAACTTTATAATAACACTGTATTGACTATTGGCAATCAAAAGTCAAAACCATTTACTACTGTCTAGTGTTTGCTGATAAAAAATAATACAAACATCGTCAAATAAATACAGTACAACTTGTTAATAAAACTTAAAATCTCAAATTTTAATTGAAGCAATTAACGCTTATAATAAAACATAACTATAAAATATATTCGTTTTTAAATTAAATTTATTAAAAAATGATAATCGTTTTATATTGGGTATATTACAATACATATATTTATAATAATTTATTGTATTATTTGTAATATTACAAATATACCCTCTACCAGTAGGTATTATGATTTATGAATTTTATTCCAGTTGTATAATTATAATATAATTCTATTTTTTATAAAACACTGATTATGCCATGGCAGTTGCCAGTTTCCAAGAAATCACATGGAATTCTTATAACTTTTCTCCCATATTTGTACATACCTATATTGTTTTTGAAGTTACACACAATTCTCAGTTACCAGCGACACAAAAAAATAATATTTTAAATTATTACAATTTAAGGGATGGGTATAAAAATATAAAAATGAATGTATTAAGATAATTTTATTTTATAACTATAGTATTAATCGGAGACCTGGTGGGTTAAAAATATTAAATGTGATTCAAAGAAGAAAAGTTCAAGCCACCACTGATCTATGTAATATTTAGGTTTAACAAATTGTAAAAGTGGTAACATATATTTTATCTGCCAATAATTATTATGTTCATTAAAAAAAAAGTTAGAAAATAAAATAAAACAATTTGTAATGAAAAAACATTCAAAATGTATATCGGTAAAATTTCAGATCGATCTAACCTTGGGCTACTGTCGACTAAATTCATATCTATCAGTGTCGTCCAATTAAAAATCCTTAATAGGCAATAGATCGTCGAAGTACAGATCACGTTAAGTTTAACGACGAGTGCGTTATACCTAGAATAATACTTTGGAATAATAATATCTATCGTCACGTACTTTGATATAAGTGTATAAACTATATGTATAACAATATAACATAAATAGGTAGTTACTTGTTGATTCCAAAAAAGGACAGGAGAAAATTGTGGCGTAGTGTATAAATGTATAAATGTATAATAGTCAATAGATTATAGATAATAAGACAAATATTAAAAATCTCAAAGTATATTATTATAATATGTTTTATTTATTGCGAATACGAAATTGTTATGTGTGGGTATTTATTTATTTATTTATTTAAATTAATATCGACAGATTAATGGGCCTCACTGAGAAAAAAACTCGTGTGGAGGCCCATGGGTTATCTTAGATTACAAATAATTATTATTGTTTTAAGGTACATGTTACATTTTTAAAATACAGATAAGGAGTTTTTCATAAATAAATCACATTAAATCACTAAAATAAGTGGTGAATTAGAATGTTACATACAATTTTAAGTTTTACACACATATTCATATCGTAACCAGTGGTTAATTTTTTTTTTGAATATGGGTAACGGTAAAATAACCATATCATTGGGCATCAAGTTAAGTATCTGTTTTCCCAGAAAATAGTAAACTTTTCGGCAACTAGTTTTTGAGGGCCAATCTAAGGAAAATTTACTAGTTGCATACCTGGTGTTGACCCCATGGTTTATAGAATCCAACTGATTATGTTTTTTCAGATATATGGTGATTGTTTTTAGGTATAAGAGTTCTATATTGAGGACATTAAAGTCTTCGAATAGTTTTTCGGTTGGATATCTCCAATTTTTTTTGTAAGCGACCCTAAGTATAGTGTTTTGGCATTTCTGGAGCGGTAGAAGGGCGTTGTTGTAGGCACCACCCCATCCGATTATGCCATACGATATTATTGACTCGAATAGTGTTAGGTATATAGTTCTGATGTCTTTGAAAGGCAATATTTCACG